TGGCTGGGGAATTCTGGGAGTTGAAGTCCACGCATCTTAAAGTTGCTGAGGTTGAGAAACCCTGTGTTAGACCTTCTGCTTAAGCTTGTTACATAAATACAGCCATCATCATGTTTGTTGAGAAAACAGCTAGGAACTCAATCTTCTCCTTTCTGGCACCCCATGTATAATGCTAGAACCTTGATATCTTGCAGTTGATGAACAAAACCAGAGCTGTTTTAAGACACAATTGAGTTGATTCCATCCTTTTCTTAATTTTTTCTAACACAGCAGGAAGTAGTTTGAGGTACCACCTTCCAGACTCAGGGCAGGACAATCACTCCCCTTATCCAGTGCCAACTGATTTTGGAAAGAGACACTCATGTTTCCAGAGGCCACCAGGGGAGACATCCCAGGGCTGTCCAGAGCTGTCCAAAGCTATGACTCACCTTCATGAGGATGAAAACCACCAAGGTGACAAAGACATTGGCACGGGGGTGCTTCCAGGCTTCAGAAACACCGCCAAACTCAAATTCTTCAGCCAAGCCCTGCTTTGCCCACGTGCGGTTGTCAAACAAGGTGACCAGAGTCTCTTTCTGGGTGAGCTGAAAGAGCAAAGGCAGAAAGTTAGGGGGTGTGAATGGCACCGTCACTTCTGGAAGCTTTGTGCTGATTTCTCCTGGGCCCTACAGTTAAAGCAGCACAGAGCTTTGGGTTCAGTTTCCAAAAGATTACTGCAAACATCACACTTCTCCACAACAGCTTCAAGCAGATGTGCCTTCTCCGGGAATCGCACAGAAGAGTTTGGGAAAGATACAGCTGCTTTACGTTAATGCAGCCTTGTATTTCAAAGCTCAGCTTGGAGCCTGAATCCAAAGCACCATGCAGCCCTGAAATCCACAGCTCTGTTCACACAACACGTGTAACTGGGCGAGTTAAAGACTTACTGGTATTTAATCTCATGAAGCTTGGCTTGTTGTAACTGTAGTTAAATTGTTATTGCTTAAGGCAGTGTTTCTCAACCTTGGCAGCTTGGGAGTTGAAGTCCACACCCCTTAAAGCTGCCAAGGTTGAGAAACACTGACTTAGGTTATCGTACAAACCCAGCCAGTTAGAATGATCAAATGTATTCTGCAGATTCAGAAAACAAGTTAGCTCAGCAACCATGTTAAGCAAGTCGTGTGGATGCAGACCCATGTATATCTGCTTGTGCTTTAAAATTAGCATCTTGAGTTTTCTCCTCTGACCCTTTAGGGAATAGTTAATGACAGCTTCTAACTGTATTTTCTGGAATGCCTTCCCATCAGTGTTGGCTTTCACAAATATGATAATGTTCCTTTTTTAAAAAAAGTCTGATCTGCACTGGGTCATTATCTGGCTGTTCCTTAGGAACAATTTTATCCGCCACTATTAACTGCATGCTCTTTTTTTACTGCTAGGTTAGTGTGGAGTTTTAGTGCTGTATTATGATGATCCCCTTTCTGGCACCCTAAGATTAACAGAGGTGCATTTAGAAAATGACAGGGTCTGGCTGGTCTTGCCTGGTTGGGCCCAGAAGCTAAACAGGGTCAGGCCTGGTTAAGATTTGGTTGGGATCCCCAGGACCATAGCCTGGGAAATCAAACAACAACCTGGACAAAATGACAAGAAAATTCTGCATCTGCTGTGAGTCACACTTGACTTGAGGGTGTCTTTATTTTCATCTACCACATCTGGACAGCAAGTACATTACAGGTAGTCCTTGTTTAGCAACCACAATTGGGACCAGCAACTCGGTCATTAAGCGAGGTGGTCGCTAAGGGAAACTGAAACTGTGCTTATGATCTGACTTCAGCTTTCCTTTGTTTTACAGACCTGTGAAGGTTGTAAATGCGAGAACTGGTCACAAAGTTAGTTTTTCATCACTGTTGTAACTGCAAACTATTGCTAAACAAGGCAGCTGCTAAATGAGGACCACCTTTATACTACAGTGGAGGAATGAATGGTGAAGATGATAGAACTTGCTGAGATGGCCAAATTCACAGCTTTGATCAGAGAAAAGACATTATCTAAATTTAATGACTGGAAACCCCTTATAGACTTTTTGTGTGAAACAGAAAAAATGAAATTATGATATGTGGTTTTGATGATTAGAAAAAAATAGATTGTAGAAAAAATGTAAGTTATGCTGTAACCATAGAGTAAGAGGTTAATTTACATCCATACCTAATAATTGCCGTAAAGAACATTGGAAGCTACTTCTTTATATTTTCTTTTTTTTTCTTGCACTTTTGGCTTTGTGTTTTTTTTCTTTCTCTCCTTCTTCTTTTTCTTTATTCTAAATATTAGTTTCTGTTAGTTTCTATCTTTCTTTTTAAAAATTTAATAAAGTTATATTTTTAAAAAAGGACTGCCTGTACACTGGTTTGCTAAAACCCACTTTGAAAAGACAGACTTCCTAAAAGGTAGGCCAGAAACCCAAGTCCTGATACTGGGAACCTCTTCAGCTTCATTATATTCATGGTCCAACGCCACTGGGAAGTCTTGTAAAGCAGATTTTTAGGCAACAGCCCTCCCTCCCCCCTGCCTCCTCAGTTGTCTGTCCTGGCAGTTGACCTTCAGATACACTGCCTATACATATGGAGGCTCTATCCTGTAGGAGAAACGGAAGCCCTGGAATTAGCAAAACGTGGAAGAACTAAGGAGAAGAGGAACAGTCATTGCATCGAGCCTGATGAGAAAGCCTACCTCGGGGCTCAAAAGTTACCTGGCCTGCCATGAATTGCCCAAAACCAGGCGGGAAAGTCAGCGTTGCTATGAGGAATGTGACAAGAGCAGGAAAAAGCAGGCGCCTATGAAGAGCAAAAAAAAACAGCCTGAGGTCACATGACAGCATATCACAACTTCGCTTCCTGCTTCCTCGCCCCCTAATCCTGGTGCCCTCCAGAGGCTCTGGGTGTCCACTTAGAGGTGATGGAGGGACGTCCTTGGCCAGAGGTGGTGGGCAACTGTGGCTGTGCTCCCCTTTGCAGCTCTTCTGGCTTAGTTTCACACCCTTTTCATGATGGGACCAGGCCAAAACTGTAGTTTCAGCCCTAAAATAGGCGTTGCAGACTTTTTAAAAAACCAATTAATAAAAGTAGACCCTCACCCACTTGTGGGGAGTGATGCCTCCCTCTTGTGGGTGTCTTCCCCCAGTGTTAAATGCAACGCTTGGGCACCAAAAGCCGCTCCCTCCTTGCCCTGGGCTTGGGGCCAGGGTAAGACCTTTTAGGGCTAGACCTTTAAGCTCCTCCAGGGATCCAGAAAGGGGAGGCCCTGGGAGGTGCACGTAATGGTCTGTGGGAATGGCCCTGGGAGACGGGGCCAAGGGACGCAGCTGAGGGAACGGTCAGAGAAAAGGTGGCTGAGCCCACAGCAGGAGTGTGGGCGGGGCAAGAGGCTCAGAAGGGACCCTCCCTAGTTTCTTGGGCTGTAAAGGGGACGGGGGAACAGATATACTTTCAGCCTTGTGAGGTAGATCAGACAGGAAACACGGCCAGATGAGCTGATTCTACTTTATTGTAAGGTTACATTAACAGAATCTTGCAAGTCTAAAAGTACAGTCTTCCCCCATCTCCTTTACAGCTGAAGAAAGGAGGGAGGGTCTCTTCTCTTCTGAGCCTCTTGCCCTGCCCACATTCCTGCTGCGGGCTCGGCCGCCTCTTATCTGACCATTCCCTCAGCTGCATCTCTTGGCCCTGTCCCCCAAGGCCATTCCCACGTACCATGACAGGCACTAAACCCAAGAAGAGA